TCTTTAAAAAGAAGAAGAAGAAGTCTGCCTTCCACTGATAGAAACAGAATTCATCAGAGTAATCCACAACAGGCTACAGGGGGTGTTCCCTTTTTTAATTTCAGCACTTAATTAATGTCTTAGAATGAAGATAATGTTAATAGAAAATGCAGAAGTAAAACATTCCTCCTGTTTATAAGCAGGACTATCTTTGGAGACAGCAAAATAAAACAAAGCAAAACAAACCCCAAGCATTAGGAACCAAATCAGTGCTCTTAGAGAGGTAAGGCCTAATGGTCTTAAACATGGTCAAATGACTAAAATTCAATTCTGACATGTATTTATCATTGCTCCCTGCCAAGAGACTCCATTAAAAAGAGATTTCCCGTTGTTCCCTGGCCACTTGGCCCAATTTGAGAGAGAACGAGCACGTGAAAGGTAGAAAAGAGAATTCAACAAGTTTCTAGGAGGAAAGCAGAAGTGGCCAGCAGCAGGATCTCCAGCCGAGGTGAATGTGGAAGGAGGTTTTCCTAGGAGAGTTCTGGTGAGCCGGGAAAGGCTCGGACCCGAGAGAGGTTGGAATTAATGCCACAGGAATAAACAGTGGCAGATTCGATGAAAGTCAGGTCCCCTCTGGGACCCTTATGCACAGATTGCCAGCTGCAAGCTGCCCCCTCCTCTGCCCACCCCCTCACCCCCAACCCCGGCAGATCTATTAAGGGAAAGGAAGTTAATGGAGATGGCAGATTAACCCTCTCTTCGACCTCTCCAGCCTCACCGCTCAAGTGACAGTGAAGAAAGCTTTATAAAAGTCTTTCTCCACAAGGGCAAAGACAACATAAGAGGATTCAGTGCCTGGACAAGGATGTTCAACAAAGTGTTCAAATGTAGAAAGCAGGTGGAGGAGCATAACTGGCCAAGCAGAAGCTTTAACCTAAAACCCTGCAGAGGGAGATGCAGAGGAGAAATGAGCAAGTCCCCAGAGAGACTCAGTACTTGGGGCAGCGGGAGGGCAGGAAGAGAGCGGACTACTGCAGTAGGTGAAAGTCGTTTCTACATGGAAGGGTGGGACACCCAGGTCCCCATCCCCAGCCACAGAGCCTGGCTATGTCCCCTCTGCCAGCTACAGGAGCCCAGGCTGAGGGGAGGGGCAAGAGAGCGAGAAAAAGCCAAGCGAGGGGCCAGGACTGTGGAGAACCTAGGTTCCTTCCTTCTCCTGATCCCCAGCAAGCCTACAGGCAAGTGTATGCCGGCTCAGGTATATCCTTCCCCCCAGGCAGAGAACAGAGCATTCCTCTCCAGAGAAAACGATCACCCCAGAGAAAAGACACGTGAGCAGTGATGTTTATAGCCCCAGTGAAAAGGTCCACCTGCCATGAGTCCTCTCACAGCAAAGACCAGCAGGCAGGAGACCACCCAGGAGTGTCGTCTGAAATACAGAGAGCCAAAGAGCTTAGGGAAGGGGTTGTGCTCTCCCTTCGTGTGTGTTACAGCTGTCTCCTCCTGTCCTGCTGGGCACCCATTCAACAGCCTTATCTTTTGAGTGGCAGTTTGGGCCCGGCCTGGGGCGGGGGGGGGTACCCAGGAATATCACAGATCCAGGCTGGATCCCGCGATGGTTTGTCTTGATGAGTTGCCACCTCCATCTTTCTCAAAGCCATGGCCAGGAGCATGGCGGCAGTCTGGTTTTGCTGCAGTTGGCTGGTTGGCCTGCTTTTCATGAAACGGGAGGGAGCAGTGGGCCGGTGCCCAGGCCCTGTCTAGACTGGAGCTTACTTAGAGCGCTGACGCCCAGCAGGTGCGCTCCCAGGCACCACCGACAGGCTCTGGGTGCCGCACACTTGCGAGCTTGTTCAACGTTTTGCATTTTGTTCTACTCTGACCCTCGGAAATCTTCCTCTTGTTTTTGAACAAGACTTTTTGGCTTTCTCTTTTTTATATGTTACGTGTCTTTATTTTATGTTTGGAATGGAGAGGTTGGCCAAGTTGTGAGCTCATTGTACCATCTTGACAGAAACGCATTTTGGTTTCTAACATCACTCCAAAAAGAACGGAGAAGAGTTGATTCTGTGTTTGGGGCAACAGAACTGAAGTTGGGAATAGAATATCATAGAGACCATCAAAGACATCCAAGAGAGCGACAAGAGAGGCAAGTTGAAGGGGCCAAAACTGACAGGCATCAATAAGAAAATGATTATTGTCACTGGGACCAACTGAATCAGATTCAGACCCTGAATCCATGATGTCCAAATGGTATGGACAAAAGTGCGCCGAAGAAGTCACATGCTCCGATCTGAGTCTGTTGAAGCTTGACTCATAAAGCATGGGCTATAGAAAAGTGAGCTGGACTGTGGCACTTCAATCAACCTCAGAATCAGAGGGACCTGATAAGTAAGAGGATATTAAAAACTTAGATTCAGGGGCACCTGGGTGGCTCAGTTGTTAAGCATCTGCCTTCGGCTCAGGTCATGATCCCAGAGTCCTGGGATCGAGCCCCACATCGGGCTCCCTGCTCAGCGGGGAGCCTCCTTCTCCCTCTCCCTCGCTCCCCCTGTTTGTGTTCCCTCTCTCACTGTCTGTCTCTGTCAAATAAATAAATAAAATTAAAAAACAACAACAACAACAACAACAACTTAGAGTAGATCATAGGGAAACGAGCTGGGGTAAGAACTTTGGGCACGAACTCCATTTTCTTTGGATGGAGCTGGGGCCTTGTTGATGCCAAGGCCAGCTGAAGAACCAGGAGAGCTTGCTATCTGCAAGCATACCTATAAACAGAGACACAGAGATCTTTAGGGTTTGTCTAGAAGGGTGATGTGAGCCCCAATATAGAATGCCAGTCGGGTAGCAAGAACTGAGACTCCAGATCCAGGGAGGTCCCACCTTATGTAAAGTCTCACTGACACATGGGAGACCCAATGGAGATCTGGGGCAACAAAGGAAGTCCTATCAGCTCTTTACTTCCAAAATAACCTTATAGCTTTGGCTAATTACATCAGGAACTTATTATAGCATGTAGAGGTAGGGGGGCCTCTCTGCCTGCCTAGTTCTACCTGAAACACTTCAGAATAAGGAGAAGAAAATGAGGATATAAGAAAAGCAAAGAGAGGTACTTAGAAGCCCCCAGGGTGAAAGACTTGATGAGGAAGAAACAGTTGTATTATATTATACTATTAATTCTGGAGCAAACAATATTTATTTATATAATCATATAATATAGATGCTTTCTGTTGCTTTTCAGCTTTTTAAATAAACCTTTAGAAAAAGTACAGATGATTTCCTTGTGATTACACAGTACAATGTTAAAAGAAAAAAAGAATTTGATCGTGTAGAAGTAAAAGGACAGCTAGCCAAAGTCAGGGGAGGGAATGCAGATGGAGTGCTGGAAGGGCAGCCAGAGGATCTCAGATGCAGTTCTCAAAGTGGGGTGACAAGAGACCCTATCCATTGCTAAGGCTAGGAACACAGGAACCTTTTTGAGAGCCATGGGGTAAACTCTATTGGACATTTAAAGTTCTATCTGGAAGGATACAAAAGAAACTAACAATCATAGCCTCTAGCAGGTGATCAGAGCGGCCGAGGAACGAGGAACAAGAATAAAAGGGGGGGGGGGTGGCAGCCTTTCACTACAGACCCTTTGTATCTTTGAATTTTAAAACTTTTTAAAATTTTTAAGTAAAAATAAAGGTAAGTCATCAACCATCCAACTTCCAGGACTGCCTCCCACACCCTGGAAGAGCAGCACCGCTGCGCAAGACCCGCCCAAGGACATTCGCTGAATGTCTGCAGCCAAGAGCAAACGGTTGGATGCAACCGTAACGTCCCTTAGGATGCAGATGGGCGTATTACAGGAACCATACTAGGGAATATCATGCAGTAAAGAATCATTTAGACCTATGTTGAGGAAAATGGAAAGGTTTCCTTAATACCTTGTTGAATGAGACAAGTGAGTTAACATAGGTAAGATCCCATTTTGGGGTATATCTAAAAATGATATGTATATATGATCTGCATATGCACACTAAGTAGTACGGAAGGGCCGCAGCAAACTTAACAGCAGTATATTTCCGAGGTAAGACTGGGGAGAGGGGCGCCTGGGTGGCTCAGTCGTTAAGCATCTGCCTTCGGCTCAAGTCATAATCCCAGGGTCCTGGGATCGAGCCCCGCATCGGACTCCCTGCTCGGCGGGAAGCCTGCTTCTCCCTCTCCCACTCCCCCTGCTTGTGTTCCCTCTCTCGCTGTGTCTCTCTCTGTCAAATAAATAAATAAAATTAAAAAAAAAAAAAAAAAGACTGTGGAGAACAGTTTCCATCTGAGCATGTCTTACTTGAATTTGTTATGGGATCTCTGCATAACGTGTAGACTTTTTTCAATCATTTTCTCAAAGCACAGCATTGCTCTGTCAAGTGAAAAAAGGCTTAGGAGGGGCGCAGTGAATTCGCGGAATAAACTCCAGGGAGGAACCACTCTGAACATCTCTGCCTCCCTTGAGAAGGGCAAGGCTTGATCAACATCATTTCCATGTCAAATGCCTTACGACCCAACAGCATGGTGATCTGTCCCATCTGAATCCTTAAGAGTTCAGAAAAGTGGGGGGCAAGACCTCGTATGACCATTAGCTCAAGATCATGGCATCTCTCTGTCATTGTGGGACTCAGTAAATGCTTCTCGAATGAACAACTGCCCAGACACTGCCCCCAGGAGCTGGTTTCCAAAACCCCACCCGACCTGCAGCCACAGCTGTTCATGTTCTGGCCCCGCAACAACTGTTCACAGAAACCGTGGCCTGGCAGGGGGAGGATGGGGGCGTCCAACCCTGACCGAGGGCTGCCCCCGTGACCCCTGCACAAGGACTCAGCCACCCATAAGTGTGACTGTCTCGGTTAATAACACACACATTTTAGGAAAAACCAGCAAGGTCACGAAACTTCCACCCCTATCTGGGCCTGGAGGGTCTATGGGGCCCAGAGGCCTCTCGTCCAGAGCACAGCGATTTTGTAGACATCCACACCAACACCACCCACAGCTGCTGATTTGTTTATTGCACGAGAAACTGGCAATACCAAGGCAAGGGGGAAGGCATTACAAAACCATCTGTTGACCAACCCAGAGCTACCGAAGGGCATTCTACACAACACCTCAGTTATATACATGTATGTACACACACGCACACACATGAACACACTCTGAATACCTAAGAGTCTCAGGCTTCCAAACCCCACACAGCAGCTTGCACCCCAACCCCCCCAGGAGAGAGGGACACTGCAGGGAAGCACAGCAAATGACTCAAGGAAAGAAAAAAGGCTGAGCTCCGGTGAGCTGAGACACTCAAATCAGCACACGCAACAGAGCAGACACGGCTGACCCTCCTGGGCGGCGAGGGGGGAGGTGGTGGGGGATAAGAAAGGATCTGGGGATGTGAGCCGGTCCTAAGAAGGCCCTGTGACTGGTCAGTGGGCCTGCCTGGGGTCCTAGGAAGCTCAAGCTAGTCTGCAGCTGGTGTTCAGTGAGAGAGCCCCAGGGGCCTAGACCAGGGAGCTCACGACCACCACCCCTCCAGCATCCCAGAGGAGCATGTTCGCCTTGCACATCTCCACACATGTCGGAGGCTGGCGGGAGCTCCAGAAACCGAGTCAGACCGTGTGCAGCAGCTTGAGGCCCTTCCGCTGGTCTCCAAGAGCATCATTTGGCATGTGCAGATAAAGCCTCACTTCCAGGCAGGATGAACATGCTCTAGGGTGGCTGGGACACCCTGCATTCTCAACAGGAGACTAATGGACTTGCCTGTAGCCTCAGGGGCTGGTACGGAATGACAGGGTCATCCACCCCCACATGCTCCATCACTTGGGGCAGCCTGAATAACTACATCTAGCAAAGGAAGTTCTCTACCAAAGGTGGCAAGGTTGAGTGACACCCAGGATACCACCCTCCCCTCCCTCCCTGTCAAGGCTTGGGGACTAGGCCGCTGTGAAGCTGGGCCGCCGGGTCAGGCCTGCCTGAGCTCACAGAACTGCCAAGGGGGTTCCTAAAAGGAGCAGCTGTTTGGGAAATTCTTGGACCAGCGGGGCCAGTCCCTCCAGGTCCCAGGGACTCCCGGTGTACCAGCTCCTTGACAGAAAGTGACAGCGGCATACCGACATCAAAACACAAAGTAACCCTACACACAAAATGCTTCAAGTTGATACAAAAGGGAAAAGAAAGTCTGAGGAAGTTTGTTGTTTCCAACCCACTCACACCCAAGCAGCTGGTACAACCCTTTATTCGCAGGAAAGAACAAATTGTCCCGCACCGAGTGCAGAGATGGGCCTCGCTGCTCACCCTCAGTGGCTGGGTCCTGCTGGGAAAGGCAGCGGCGGGCCTTGACCCAGAGCTCTCTCCGGGCGCGGGAAGAGTTCCTCTCCCTCAGACCTCCATTTTATACAGATCACTGGAATAGTTCTATTTAAAACAGAACCTCTAACTGACAAAGACCCTGGGCCTTCTCAGCCCAGAAGAGCTACCCCGAGTGAGCGGCCAGTGTCCTTCTTGCCTGACTAGCCCGTGAGAACCAGGGCTTCTGCTGCAGCTCTTCGGCACAGGGCCCCCTTCCCTGCACGCTCATGCATGCCTAGCGCCGGTCTTAGGGGAAAAGGAGGAAGAGCTTACAGAGAGGGTCAGGCCTCCAGACTTTGCAATGGGTGACGGGGCCAAAGGTGACATGGGGGCTTTATTCCAGACTGCCACCAGTGGGTAGGATAAAGGAAGGGACAGGCAGGACCTCTTGAGGTCAGGCTCTGCTACCAGTCTGATGACAGTGTGGTCCCACGCACGGCCACCACCTGGAGGGCGGAGGGGGGGGTGGTTCCCAGGAGCTCTGTGGCCACTGGCCTCTCGGGCAGGAAGAACTCATGACTACATGTGCGCTGGGGGGTGTGGGGGGGGGCAGCCTCAGTTACTCCTGTCCGAAGCCTTCAGTCTCCTCAATGGCGTACAGCAGCTTCTCTTTCAGCTGTTCATAGCTCTTGTACGGTGGGAGATCCAGGCGGTTGAAACTGTTGAGAGAGGGAAGCACAACAGTCAGCAGAGGGAGGTCAGGGCTCCATGGCCCTGCCCCAGCCTGGCTACAGTGAGGTCAAAAGAGTTCACGTGACCGTGGCTCGACCACAACACCAAGTGGCCAGATGCCAGAACAGAGTCCTTGAGGGGCCTGCGGTGTGAGGCCTTCATGCTTCCTGTCCCTGCCCCCACCACCCCCCAGAAGGGTCAGCAAACAGGGCAGGGCAGCTGGAGAAATGGGGGCCTGGGCAGAGGGCACACAGGGAAGCAGCTCTTTGTCTAGTGGAAGAGAAGTGTTTGAATATTTAATAGCTGGTGAGACCATGAGGACACGGAACTGCACCACAAGCCCCACAAAATCAGAGGCCCCGCCTCTCCAACCCCAGGGCCACACAAAAGTTGCCGAAGTCCCTGAAGCTGCCCCACCCACAGGGCTGCCCTCAGGAATTCATCTGGTCTGTGAGGTTCTGGCCACCTCCCACTAAAACCAGCAGGCTCACCACGTGTGACTTCTGGGCAGCCAGGTTTCCTTGCCAACCTTGTCGATGCAAAACTTCTGTGGTCCATTGCTACCTGTTACCCAAAAAGAAACAGCATATACAACAGGACCATGCCTTCCGTGGGCAGGACCTTGACTCCACCCACAGATGGCTCAGGTCCTGCCCACTGACTCGCAGGGTGGGAGCAGCCCTCAGGCCCACCCCAGGGCCCCAGCCGGGCAAGGGAAGACATACCGATGAGTTCCGCAAATCCGCCAACAGGCAGGCGGCAAGTCCCAGTGACGAACTGCAGCAGTCGGATCCTCTTCTCGTTGTCCATCTCCTTCACCACCTAGAACGAACTCCACCAGTCAGAGCAGAGCCGGGCAACCCACGTGACCCAGAACCTCGCTCTAACCTGTGACTCCTGTCAGCTGGAACCCCTCTTTAGGGCTGAGAACACAAAGCCCGGGTTGCGTCGGGGGTTAGAGCCACCATCCTTGGAAACCCCAAAGCCGCTCCCTCTGACAGGGTGTTTGGAGGCCAGTCCCACCAGCCCATGGGACATCTCTGGTCTCAGGGGCCCCTCGAGTCAGGTATTCTTTTCCCATCCAAGTTCTGCTTTGAAAAATATACTAAGGATGGGAGTGATTGCTTAATGGGTATGGGGTTTCTTTTGTGGGGGGAGATGAAATGTTCTGGAATTAGATGGTGGTCATGACTGCATCACACTGTGAAGGGCCAATGAACCGTAATACCTTAAAATGCTTAACACGGTGAATTTCATGGGATGGGAATTTTGCCTTCACAAAGAAATTTTTATTTACCTACTCTTTCTCATGTATGCTATACTTCATAATGACAACGACAAGACTACACATATAAAAGAATCAATTCATTATATCCAGGACTCCGAGCTCATTCAGTGTCTCTGGGGACAAGCACGTGCTGTCCCGTCCCCCCCAGCTGGAAGGAAAACCACACAACCAATGGGAGCTTTCCTTCCTGCCTGCAGGCTTGATGAGAAAGAGCTGGAGGTGAGAGTTGGGGTCGCCGGCGCCCTGAGCCTGTGCCTCCGGGGCGCCCGCCAAGACTGACCACCAACAGGTCCTGTCAAGAGCCCTGGACACAATCCAGCTGCAACAGCTCTGTTCGTCCCAAGGCTGGGTTTCTCTTCTCCTTTCACAAAGTGAGGGGAGCATCAGAGATGAGGGAGGTGACCATGAAACACGTGTCCTTGAGCCTGAGATCAAATCGGGTCTCTTTCCTGTGGCTGACTGCTAAAATACCCCTGCCTGGACCCTTACCCCAACCCCACTGGGACAGGCCCCAGGACCTACCTGCCAGAACCACTGGATCTGCTTGCTGTTCTTGGTGTAGTGTCGGTAAATAGTGTTCTTCTGCCAGTCGCTCATGTCTATCTCTTGCATGCCGCAAAGCATTAGCTGCAGGGAGGACAGGTGTCAGCCGCCCAGTGCCAGCCCCCTTCCCACTCACGAGCAGATCAAAGCATCCCAAATATCTTCATGATTTCTGCTGGCAGTGCTAATAACATGGGTGATACGAGTCTTGAATGTGGACGCCCTCAAAACAAGTGTGAGAAACCCAATCACAACTATGTGCCCTGCTGCCTCGGTCCCGAGAGAGTGTGAGGTTCTACTGGTGAGTTTCTCTGGAGACGCAGTTTGCCAACAAAGGGCACGACCGCCCCGGAGGCACAGGCTCAGGGCGCTGGCGACCCCAGCTCTCACCTCCAGCTCTTTCTCATCAAAGTAGCGCAACCACTCCAGGGGGGCCACCTCGTTGAAGCCATCCAGGAAGGCTTTGGTCTGCTCTTCCACACCCCGGGTGAAACGCCAGTCAGTCAGCAGCCTAAAACCGAAGACCAGCCATCAGCGGAGCTGAGACGCACTGCTCGGGTGCAGCTTGGGGCCTGCCAGGAGGCTGCTGTCACAGCGAGCGATCTGCTGAGAGGTGGCTTTGGCGCACCCAGAGCCAGTGGGCTGCCGGCCCCGGGCCCGACGCCAAATGGGAGGCTGTGATCCCTGGTGAAATGCGCGGGGGGCCTGGGTGGAGGGTGCCCCAGAGACAGGGGTGGCTCTGCTCCCCTCCCCCCGCCCCCGGCTCCCCAGCGCTTAAAACTCACATGATGTACTCGTCCTTGTTCTCCTCTGTCACTCGGATGCTCTCACCACCTTCCTTGAGCTCGTGGGTTGTCACCTTGCCCAGGATCTCCATGTCCTGGATGAAGTACAGCTCTAGACCACACTCTTCCAGGTTGTTCTCTCTGGGGGCATGAGAGATCAAGAGGGAAGAGGTCTACCTTAGAAGCGTCTCCCGTCATCCTGCTCTGTCACTCACTTTAGTGCTCATGGGATGCTAGGACTCACAGCCTAAATCCAGAACAGCCACAGGAGAGAATTCTGGAGCTGCCCGACAGGGAAGCCTAGGAGCTGCGCACCTCCACAAGCACTTATAAAGCCCATCTTTATGGGCTCAGAGCCATTCTGGCAGAGAAAATAAAGGCCTACTCCCCAACTTTGGTACCCCAAGGCCACCATGCACAGTTGTGTTGGAGATCCCTCTCCTCCCAGCACGGCACAAAGGAGAGGACTCACTTGATCCAGACAATAGAGTTGTAGAATTCGGGGTCGATAGATTCCAGGTCCTTCAGGGTTGGTCTCTTGTTGAGCATCCGCTTATAGAAAGGGAGGGTGAAGCCTGTGTCAATGAACTTTCCATGGTACAGAGCCTGAGGAAGAAGAGACATGGCCAAGGGCTTTGGTCTTCTTAGGACACTGCCCGAGGCAGGCTCTTGGATGCTCCACACCAAAGCCCAACTACTGCCACCTACCCTTTCTCCCCAAGAGCAACTGTGACCTTGGGACAGTGTCTCACCACAGCTGCAGACCACAGGGGCAGGCAGAGCTGGCTTACTTAGGAACGCACTGCCTGCCCAGCACGCTTGCCCGCCGGCTCCCTGCTCTAGCAGAGATCTGCCCCACACTTACGGACAGCACAAGCCCAGGTGGCAGCCCTGACGAGTGAGTCAGTGACGCTCAGAGCTGGGCGGCAGAGGCAGCCAAAAATAATGCAGACGCTGTCAACGGCGGGAGCTGGCGGGCCAGTGGTGAGTAATAGTCTAGGGTTTTACTGGTCTGTCCTGTCGGCTGCTGGGCCAGGCGGGTCTCTAGACCTGGGAAGAATGTGCCCACTTCCTGAGCCCAGCACCTTGGCCAAGAACTTCCAGACAGGGGAAGGCACATATTTAGTCATGGCTCTTGGGTTCTCGTGGGCAGAGCATTCGGGAAGTCAGGAGGAAGCAAAGGAAAATTAGCAATGAAACAAACTACCAAATATGGCAGAAGGACTGTGGCTACTATGGGCTCCCCTTTCTCAACCCTGGTTCTCTACCCTCAGGAGACACTCGACAGGATGCACGTGACATGATGCCCTCCTCTATTCATACTGTGTTCCTATTTCTAGATAAATACAGTACCGTGACTCCCCTTTCCCTGATGTCGATGCCTCCTACATCCTGACCAGCTGGTCTACCAGGCTCTGTTCTAAGCTAGTGTTGATTCCAAATCCCCTTCCAGAAGGCCCGAGTGTCTCAGGCAGACATTCCCTAACACTCTCACCCGAGGGTTGTGACAGACGGTGGTACCCCACCCCGCATCTTCCCTCCCCCCTGCAAGAAAGACAGCAAGCGGGCAGTGTTTGCCATGCCAACATCCTCGACAGGGTGGACGCTGAAAGTTAAGTGATGTCCATGGCCCAGAAACCCTGGGCTATCGCTCAACAGCCCCATGATCCAAGGCAACGTTTTGTCAAAGAGACTGTTAACTTTTGCAGGTAGGCTGGGGTGAGGGCAAGACAATGCTTTTAGGCTCTTTT